ATCCTTCTTCGCGCATTCTCGATTCGGGTACCGAGCTCATCTATCGGTGAAAGATGTACTGTTACGGCTACGGGAGGCAGTCCTAGGGCCTCCTTTTTGCGCCTCGTTGCTTTAGACTTGAAGGGGGCCTTTGATCATTTTGAACACGACCTCATCCTTGTCGCATTGTAAAACTCTAATGTCTAACTACATCTGCTCATTTCTTTGTGATCGTACAGCCACTGTGGGAATGGTACTGCATCGGTGTGGTATGATCCACCTTACAGGACGTGGGACACCACAGGGCTTCGTTCTTTCCCCTACATTATTTAGTATTGCATTGGCAGAGCTTCCCTGCTTGCTCGACTAGAGACCTGATGTCGCCCATGCTATTAATGCGAATGTCATCACTATCTGATCGACACGGGGCTCTGATGGAGCCATCCAGGACCGACTGCATAAAGCAGTGGATACTATTATTAAGTACGCTAAAAAAGGAGGCCTGCAATGTGCTTCTCAAAAATTGGAGCTCAGCGTCATTCGCTCCCGAAGCAGTAGCCCTCCTCCCCCAATCATTGTGCATGTGAATGGCATACCCACACCATATGTCCCTCGTGCCCACATCCTTGTACTATATGTTCAAGCGGATGCCAAAGCTAACTACATCGTTGGCCTTTTATGACAAGTTGACCAAATACTGTCCATGATCCGGTGAGTTTCAAATCGGCGCTCAGGGCTTGAAGAAGATTCGCTGCTTTTGGTGGAGGCCTGCGTGATCAGCTGGCTGACATGTCACTTGCCCTTTCAGCAGTTGACCCAATCACAACTAAGCATAGGCGCCATGATCCGCAAAGCTGGCCCACGGCGTTCCGAACTACACTTGCACAATTCTTCTTAAGTTGGGGAAACACAACACACTAAGCGAGCTGCTCGAGGCAGATTGGGTCAGTCAGCGCTAATGCCTCCTACCCACCCCTACTGGCCGCAATTCCTCTCACGCCTCAGATATCCCGTTCCACCACTTGACATTGAAACCCACCCCACGCCCTTATCGCCTGCGATACGGAAAATACTAACTGTTCATCCCTTACCACGTAACGTGCACCCCCAGCGTGACAAGGGCCGGTGCAAATCCTGCGTACAATACCTCAGGTGTATGCTCGAAGACATCACAGAATCGCATGCTCTTTACATGGACACAGCCCGAACTCGCAAAGGTTACACCTTAGTAGTGCTAGATGCCACCGACAATCTGCAAGACTTGGCTGCAATGCGTAAGACACATGCCGCTCACTGCGTAATTCTTGGAGTCTCTCTAGCGATACAATACGCTATCCGTGTTGACAGTGAGGTCTACATATTGACAGACTCGCAACAGGAATGTCGGGCCTTCCTATCAGCACATTGCATCCCAAAAGCGGCCCACCGAATTCTCAATCAAAATCCTCCGAGTCAAATAGTACTTTTCACGCCCGCTTACTCTGGACTCCTGGTCATGCCTCTCTGCCGGGCAGTGAACGCGCACACGCTGTTGCCCACGAATTTTCCCTTCGGGCGGCCCAGCGAGGCGACCATTTCAGAGTGGGGGGATCCTCTTCTCACTTACGACATTCTTCATCACTACGGGAACGTCCGTCGCACTGAGAGCGCCCCACCGCCATCTTTCTCGTGAGATGAGGCAGTAGCGTTATGCCAGCTACAGACTAAAACATTTCCCAATCTAGTATCACTTCATAAATTCTACCCGCAGTGCTATGCAGACCGTTGCCCCGACTGTGGAAACTCGCCCATGTCCTTCCATGTCTCGATCGAGTGCACTGCGAACATCTTTCCTCCCTTACCTGCTTTCCTTCACCCTTTACGTAACGAGGAGCTGTGGGATGATGCTCTCCGCGATGAACCTCCCGAGGTCCTCCGATCTCCGACATAGTGGGCCCGACTTGTCGCTGAAGTTGTCCTAGGCACCCTGGACTAGGGGTTCCTTCTACACCCTCCTTCTCCATGCTTTTGATTGTGAACAAAGACGTTCCTTTCTCTCTCCACTTAGCATTGAAACAACACACCAAACTGTGGCACACTTGCGCACTGTTTGCAACATCTAATGGTGAGCTTTCACAAGCCACATGTGCTGCACTGTCATTGTTGTTATCATCATCGTCGACTGGTAAAAGCTTTCTGGAAGCTTTTAAACCTTCGCCACAGGCTCATGAGCAGCCGGAAAATAGCAGCCTGCTGATAGGGTGGCTAGAATGGAGAGGTGTAAAAAGCGAGCCGTGTTTCCCTTGCCGAGCGGCGCCGCGGTGCGTGAGATCTCCGCTAGGTCGAGATTTAGCGCGGTGATCGGAGGCGCTGCTCCTAGCGTGGCTACTAGCGCGGCGGAGGCGGCTGCAGGTGCAGTGTATGCCGGGGGAGGCTGCTGGTCACTTGCGGCAAGTGCTTCTCAGCATCGTTTGTGTTCCACGTAGTGCGACAACTTTGTTGTGTTTTCTCTTAAAAGACTAAAGGGCTCCTGCAAAGAAGAAAAAAAAAAAAAACGCTGCGGACTTTTTTTTTTCTGGGTGCAACGCGGGATACAGATCGTGCGCTGAAATTTTTTCCCTTTTTTTTTTTTTGTGCGCTCTGGCATGCAAAGACAGGTTAGCAAAAAGGGAGTGCACCATCGCAAGGGCGGACATAGCGCTCCAGGAGAATACCGCCGTCAGGGAAAAACATTTCGATGCATGGTAAATGTATTGAATTTAAGGGCAGAAAAGACTTGTGTGCATGTGTGCAAGGCATTGGCAAGTGGAGATATTGAACACTTTGTGGCGCTCTTAACACCTCGGCCATTGCTTTTTGATAAATACATTTATTTACCTGAAAATTATGTCTTCTCACTAGGTTTTAGATTCAGTGCGCCGGAATTTGTGCACATTGTGGAAGGACAGAAAGAAGGCAGCGTGACAAGACTAGTTTAAGAGATGATGCTGTACTTACCTTATTCCCAAGCGTGCCCAAATATATATCGAAGAGTTTTCCTAAAGAACGAAAAATACGAAATGCTGCTTAATTGGACTACGTACCAGCAATTGAAGAAGTGACCCAATAACCCTAGCACGTTGGAGGATTGCCCAAATGACTCGACGAGCTGCCAAGGCAGGCGACTAGAGATTGGGATCTAAGGAGACTTCTGTATCCGTCAGTCTCTGTAAAACCTTGTAGAGACTACAGAAACCAAGTTGACACTTGTGTTTAGTGCAGTGTGCGTGCATTCGAATTTAGTAGCCAGTCTTTTACGATCACAAAGCAGTTTCCAGAAATTGGCTGCATTGAACATTGCAAATAGTTGAACAAAGAAGTGGTCAGAATATTTTGTGCGACGAGAGTTCTTTTTTTAAGGGTCTGAACCAAGCAATAAGCGAGAAAAATGTCAAGCGATTGAAGCCCTATGTCATGTAAAAAAATGTACGTTAGTGACTTAATGTAATAAATTTTGTTGCAGCCATAAAACTACGCATTGTCTCAGATTCTACACATGTTTCAGAATACTGCCTCAAATGTAATACAAGTTCAGCATTGAGAAAATAGCAATGCGTCACCTCACTCGGTAATTCGCACTGTCCAAGCAGATTTAGCAGCAAACGTCACAATCTATCGCGGGTTAGCACAAGGTTTTGACAAACTAACGTCGTCAAAGATATACCACGTTCCACTAGAGCAAGCTTGCTTTTTTTTTTTGACTTCGTTAAGACGTAGTTCAATGTTATAGAAAATAAAACCATTTTAGTTTCACCAAGCATATAAAGAGCGGTGCTGTCGGAATGACGCTCTGCCGAAAACATCGCTCTAATGGAATGTTCGTTCAGTGAAAGATGCGTGTATTCAAAGTACGTGAAATTGCTGTTTGATATTTACTTTGAAAAAAAAAAAAACTGTTGTACTGGCGAAAAACTCAAAACGACCATCGCGGGTACATTGCAACGGAGAAAGCTGGCAGCGTCTCCGACTACAGTGCCACCGCTGCAAGCTTGCGAGCGGGAGCCACCTTGGAGCGACCGGTTTTCACACCTCCCAATCCTAGCCACCCTACTGCTGGTGCAAGCACGGCAAAAGCGCAATTGCGACAGTGATATCATCACACTGGTTGCAACAGCTGTCAGCTCAGCCACAGTGGTGACGTCTAGAAGTTCGGGATCGCCTTCAAGTCGCAGGCCACCTTAGATGATGTTTAAGTTGCAAGGTGCAGCATGTGGCACTGGATCGCACATGCTAAAGTGAATATTAATATAAATTACCTGCCTAGCTATACTTGATTTTGAGAATTAGGAGATGATATATGCATGTTCACAGGAATCGACCCCGCAAGCTGTCGCGGCCTTGAAATTCGTGTCGGCACCTATTAAAAGCTCCATGACTTGAACAATGAGCTACTATGGGCAGCTGCATCAAAGAACAAACGGCAGAAACTGTAAGACAGTCTGCCGAGTCTAGAAATATAACTCGTGTCATTGCAGATGATGCCACAAGACACACAGTACATGTACTGCAAATGCAGAACCCAATTTGAAACTCTGTAACAACCTATTTTCGTACTACTTCACTAAGGGGAAGGCCTCATTCAGATGGTGCACCAACTTTTCCCTTCCTTTTTTTGGTTCGTAACGTGGTGAACCAAAGTGCTAATTAATCCACATATTTATCCTTTACTTACTATCGCTGGAATCTGCCCATGGTATTTCATTGCAATGGCTATTCATCAAGCAAATGCACTTGACGCAAAAATGTGTTGCAGACAGAGTGCTGTAAGTGCCAACATGTATAAGGCTGCATACATGTTGCCTTGGCCCATATATTGCTGGTAATTGAGCAAAAATAACATGTATGCTATTATCACCTATTTATTGATGAGGTTATTCCTTTGAATGCATAATAGTGGTCCAAGATGATTATCCTCTACAAATTGACAGAAATGTACAAATTGCAAAATTCAGGGTACAGCCAAGTAAGTTAATAAGATTAAGATTGTCAATTCTCTCTTTCAGCTATTTCTGCAGATCCTGAGGAGTACCTCCAGTCAGATGAGGATTCAAGTTGATTGGTAATTGGCACTCATTTCGAAGGCCTCCAGCCTTGCTTGTTTTTACAATTATGGACTATGCATGAGCAGAATGCATAAGAATTTTATTCAGATGACGTGGCATTAAATGTTTTTTTATATTGAAACTGCATACGCATGGTCGCTGTTCTATGCTTCGTGTGTCTTTTGGTGAATGTTGTGTGCAGCAGTCTTGAGTTAGTACCAGGCACTGCTTGACTTGGGCTGAGCAAAAACATGGCATGAATGCGGTATTGGTAGCTAACTCTCCCATGCAAAATGACATTAGGTCCGTTTTATGTCATTTGCTGTAAATGACACAAGATTTGCCGTGTGACAGGGGTATTAGACTCCATATCATTTTTTTTTTCTTCGAGGCTGTAGCGCTTTCCCACTTTTAGCAACAAAATTGTACTGTTGTGATGCGTCTATCATGAATGTGTCTGCATGGAGGCTGCTTCATACAGCACAATATGAGACTAGACCTTATATGTGGCCCAAAGTTTTGTTGCAATAGGGCCTTGGAAAATGAGTGAAGCAGCGTTTGTGCTGGATTATCCCAACATTTTGAAATGCAAGGCAACTTTGCTTCTTTTTACATATTTATTCTCGGAAAGAGCTCAGTTGCGCTGTCCACCACGGAAAGGTCCCAGAGGTGTTGTCTGAAGGCCAGAGATGCCAGCCATGTCCTGCATAGAAAGACAAAGCAGCAATGCATAAGTGGCCTTCATTCCTTGTTGCGTCAGGGAATCAATCTGCAAGACACATGATCAGCAGGTATCTAAACTATGCCAAATTTAACTCGGGAAGTGTATTATACGGCGTCCTTGTGAGTTGGTTGGTTTTCGGTCATGTAGATCCAGCAACAAGCTTGGACACTTTTTCACGTAGCAAGGTGTTCACTTTGATAACCTAATGTTGACACTTGGAAAAGTGAATGTAGGCCCTTGTTATATTATGGAAAAAGGGCACTTGGGTCTAGATGCCACTCATCCCAACATCCCATCTAGTTTGTCCAACCACACAAAATGGAATGTCCAGCAGTTTTGCGGTGTTGGCTGGCTTGTAGGCTTCGCCGCTACTTTGACACCACACCGTTCCTGGTCACCAGCATGCACGGCTCATTGCCAAAAGAGTGGGCAGTAGTACCATGCCTAATCAGTAATCACTCATGATGTGCTATGATACATCATAACCAGCACTTGTTTGAAGACAATCTAAACAGATCAAATGCCATTTAGTCCTATTACGTAGTTACAATGTTGATAATTACTGCACGAAGATTTTAATTTTTTTTCCGTAGCTTTGCAGTTTTCTACTTAAGTAAAATCTAGTTACTCAAGATTTCAAGGAACCAGAAAAAAAAAAAAGAACTGAATTAACAGAGTGCTGAATTCGCCAAAGTAGCAGGAAAATAAACAAGTGTCTGTCACGGTAATGCATTTTCTTGAATCACGTGAAGCATTTTCTAGAAATTCATGTGAACCCAGTGGTCATTTTATCTAAGAGCAGCAAAAAAAAGCCTCAATGTTTCAGCCTTCCTCACTTCGTTCACATTGTGACCGTTGCTCAAGATCACCATATCTGAAGCCGACATATGCTTGAACCCATCCCCTATAACATGCTACCGCCACTACCCCTACCATGTGCATGTCGCAATATTTTTTTCACCAGCCAGGCTTGGTCAGCAACTTATCGTTCGTCCATGTACCGAGCGAGTTTTATGCTAGTATGCGGGCCGCCTCTGAAGTTGCGACAGCTTCCACCACGCCTGAATTTTGTGGCAATGTGCACACATTGCCCAAGTCGTGAAGGTACCGAGCGCCGATTCCACTATGGACAAAATCATGCTTAATAACGACAAGATCGTAGCATGCACACACCTTCGAAGGCATGCACACTGCTTACGCTAAGAATATAAACCAGTGGTTTTGAAACGAGGCTCCGCAAAGGCCCATGTAAATAACAGCCACATACACTGCGCTGCTGTGTTAGAACCCCCACCGCCTTTTTCTTTCTCACTGCAAGGGGTACAGAAGTCCTCGAAAATTCATGGTCCAGAGACACTGTACTAAACAAAACTACTAAGTACCGCATCATCTGCTGAATAAACCTGGCTCACTAATGCACAACCATGAAAAATGTGACTCGCTCTACACTTCTGAAGGCACGCGGTGGAAACCAATTTACTGTTTGTTGCAGCTTCGACCCCAGCCACTAATCTACCCCATAGATAGGGCCCATGCATATTGCGTGCGTTGCGTAAATGGAAAATGAAACAAGTTTGCTGCAGTCACTGAAGCGTTCATCGCCAATAATGCGATTCTGTTGAAATTGGGGATGAGCACATCTTTAAAAAGTCCTGCAGCCCTTCGACTCTTTGCCAACGTAGTTTTCGTTACTTAGCATTGCACATTTGCGGTGCTTTGTCATTGGGGCACTTTGAGCAACATCCGAATAAACCTTGTAGCAGCCAAATGTGACCACGTTAAGGAGTTTCATGCCATTAAACATATGTTTGGCAGCACTGGAGAACATGTTTAATGAACATTTACTGACACACACACACTAACACAGATGTATTGTATAAAGCTGCGAGGCGTGTTACTGTGTTCAAGGTTTGCGCCGTTGTCGTGAATAATGAGCTTTTACTGACACACACACATATTGTAGGAAGTCGCAAGGCTTGCTATTGTGTTCAAGGCTTGCACCGCGAGGCAGGCTAATTACATAAACTCTAAAGAAAACGGTGTGGATATTGAGGCTTCTGCAGTCTATGTCTGATCATGGCCCATCTCTGCGATCCTACAGTGATGGGCAAGCGGGGGTCACAACCTCCCTCACCCAGCACTGTGTGCTGTGTCGGGAGACTTTGTGCACGCGACAGAAAGAGAGCGTATGGTAAGCATGTTTTTTTTCTTTCTCTTTTTCGTCCATCAACTTCTTTGTTCTTGAGGTTCGCTCGGGTGGAGTTAACTACAGTGCCTTGCGCCCACAAGAGTCCTGTTCAGCTCCACACAAATAAGTCTACACTGAGCAAGAAACAGCGCACCTAGACGAAACAAAAAAGTTACACGAAAATTTGTATGCGTGCTTCACGTATTCGACAAGGCCCGAAAGGCTGGTTGGCAACTTCCTGCAACAGTGCCTTCACGAATGAGATGTATTTCTGTATTCATTTAGCTGGCAACCAAGGTTCTTTGACTTATCACCTCAGTTGCATCCTTTCTTGCAGACTTATCACCTCAGTTGCAGCCTTTGAAAGTTCTTTTTGATTATTGCGCGGTACTAGTTATAGACTTTTCTAACGGAGAGAAGGATCCCCTCCTTTCTGGGCTGTTGCACTGCAGTACAAAAGCTGATGTCACAGCTTCGGCACTGCATTTTTGGGGGGTCACGCATGTTAGCAACAGTCCACAGGGGCTTACGGCGGCACCCAAGGAGCTTTTATTGAGAAGGTGTATCGCGACGAAATTTTTATACTACGACAACTTAGATTAGAAGGGATCTGCACTGTACTTTAACAAGGTTTTATATTTGTAAGTAGTGGTGATATCACTCCTGTCTTACATCTCTTGTGACTGCCCATCTGATTCGATGCAAGTGTACAAAACAAAAACCTCTTCACTCACCAGTGCTTTCATCATCTCCATGGTGTCACCGTCCACCTCAATGACGTCCTGCTCCAGGGCAGACACCTGTGCGAGAGAAAAAAAAAAAAAAAGAAGGTTAGTGCTATAGAAAGTTTTTTTTTTGTATAATCAAGTTGATTGTCCAACAATTAATGAGATTTAGCAACACAGGGGTTTAAGACACTGTAAGCCACAACTTTGGCACTAACTGCAGCATAATTGCTGTCTAAGTAGTTGGAATGTGCTTGCCCACTACTACTTTCAGAGAACTACACTATAGCTTAAAAACGCAGAAATGTACTTCTGCTAGCTTTCTCTCCAAGGTAAGCAGCATTGAAAATGCTGCCCACTGTTGTGAAATGCACTTGGGAAATATATATATATGTAACTGTGCATGACACACACCAGCAGCTTGAGTCACAAATTGCTTGTGCCGGCATAGTCTGTTATGGACACTGGTGTAAAATGGTAACATCAATTAGGGCGGCCTGCTAATACATGGATGCATGCATTATTTTGTCAACAGTTTATGTTCCGTTTCAGCGAGCTTAAAATGTGTAAACTTAGACACAAAACAGTGGACGCAGCTGGCTTAAGCTTTCACGAATGCCCCACATTAGAAAAGAACAAATGTTTCCACAATTCAGGCAGCAGCAGACTGGAAATTGACAAGAACAGGTGGACACTTCGCTACCAGCGAACACATTGCTAGCAACTCTGCTAAATTTACCCAAGAGCTACCCTCGGCAGTTCACTGAGACATGTGAATGTACCTACTGTCAAATGCTACGAAACACAGCTTAGAACACAACTTAATGTGGGCAGCTAAGGCCTTAGTGAAGCCACATTACTCGACTCGCAAGAGCATTTACACTATGTCCGCCTTCGAAGTACTTTGCCCACGGACCACTTAACCATGTGCGGTTCATAATAACTGGACTGCGAGCACACGACACAGCAAACTTCATACCTCGGGCACGTAGTTGTCCCTCCGTTCTCTCTCTTCTTCCTGCAGCTTGATGGAGATGCCCCGCACTGGTCCACGCTGGATGCGCTTCATCAGATGAGTCACAAACCTGTGGCGAGATCGGTACCAGTGTTCACGGTTTACAAGTAGTTCAAAGCCGTGTTTTTCTGTTTTTTTTTCGCGACATCTTTCAACACTCATTCATTTGACTTGACCACCATCGTGAATGTAAATTTACAACCAACAGTAGCTGTAGAAACGTACAGTAGAAAAAATGCCGTGAATCATCTGCACGTCAGTAATTAGCGTGAAACGATTCTCCGCAAACGCCACCATGCATGAGTACTGCCGACACTGAAACAGCAGTACTTTGCACTGTTACCGGTACAACACAAGTACACGTCATTTGACAGGGCAGTTTCAACAGATCATGATGTATAGAAGTTTTTATGAGAAAAAAGACTTACCCAGCAATCTTGTTTTTTAACTTCTTGCTGGGAATTTGGGCGATCTCCTCGCAGATTCGCTTGTTTGTGTGGAAGTCGAGGGTGAGTTTTGTGTAGTATTTCTCGATGATCAGGCGAGACGCCTTTTTGACGGTCTTCGTCCTAACGCGACCCTGCGAAGAAAGGTGCACGCAAGTTAACACCGGCTTTGAAAACAGTTTTGGAGGCAACAAACGAGCTGCCGGAGCGCCTGCCAAGTGCTTACCATGCTTTCGAAAATAAGCAAGTAATACTATACGCAAGTCAAAACAAACAAATCCGATAACTAAATAAAGGGTGCCTAGAAGCTTTGTGAACGTGTTAGCGCTAGTTCCGCAATCTGCACATTTAGATTAACTACGATTGCTACACACTAGTCGAAGGAATACACACCATTTTGACGAACTCCCGAGAGAGGAAAGACACAGAGTTGCTTGCTTCTTTGACTCCTTCCACCGATAACGGCCGAATCCAAAAAAGCAAGCCGTCTGACTGGTCCGGCTGCTAAAAAAATTTTCTACACAATTTGTGTGAAGAAAATTTATTGCTTATGAATGAATTATTTTTACAAGGTTACAATAGTTTTATATATGAGCATCTTTAACTTTGGTACAAGTTATCGCGCCATTGTGCGGGCATATTTGGACTCGAGCCTCAGCTTCCTTTCAAAATGGTGGCAATGTTTTCGTCAGGATTTGGAAGCACGATAACAAGATTTATTATTTTCTTTACGTACGCATTGTGTGCGCAGTGAATCGAAATTTCGCCGAGGAACTCCGCTTCGATCAGCGCAGAGCGTCTGCAGGTGTTACTGACGCTGCGGACGGAGCCAACCGCCAGCGGGCTCCGAACGTGCGATGCTCGACTAGCGCTCGGGGCCTCGCAGCCCCGCCGCGATTGCACTTAGGCTTAGCACGTGCGCTAAGTGGTCCGTGCACGGCTGTCCCGAAAACATCGCCGCAGCATCCCGCGTACTGGACGACAACGAAGAAGCAAAAAGTTTCTGGCACGAAGTGTTAGCCGTGGACCATCGCGCCTTCGTTGAGGCGGCCGTGCTTGCAACGGTGGCTCGCTTCCCGCTTCCGAGGAGTGTGTTTTGCTCAGAACGTTGGTGCGCGTCGTCAATCTACAGAGTGGTGTGATGCCTTGATACCTTTCCTCTCCGGTGTCTGCGTGAACTGATCAGTAGGATACAGCGAGCATCATGTCGATAAATGAGTCGAACCTTGTGAAGAAGTTGACCTCCGTCACCAACACGCAGGACAGCGTGCAGACGCTTTCGTTATGGATCATCCACCATCGAGCGCATCACAGAAAGATTGTGGACATCTGGACGAAAGTACTGAAGAAATGTAAGTTTTTTCTTTCATGCTTGTATTTATAATTTTGCATGTCTATTCAGTGTTTTAAAAAGAGCACTTGCTAGCCATTTCTCGTACATCCGCTATCGAAAAATAAACTTGCCGGTGATTCTTCTCATGAATGAGCATTGCAGTGATAAGTCAAATCATGCGAAAGCGTAGATAATTAAGATAATCTTTATGGAATAGGAAGTATCTTTATATGTGATCGGGGTTTCGTAAGCCGGCTCCGGAGCGCCGGTGGTGCTTCGCAAATCTGCGCCTGCTTCGTCGGTGAAACGGGATTAGATTACACGAACAGCTGGATGTCTGCAACGAAGAAGAAACGTAGAGACTGAAAGGTTGTCTCAAGTGACTTAACCACTTAAACGTTGTGAATACTAGCGTAGTCAGTTTCTAGCAACGCTTTGCCACCGGCGCGAAACATATCAGCCAGCCGTTCGCGTTTGTATCTGCGGGAGCCTTCGATATTTAGTGACCTTTGTTGTTTTGGATGATCATGTTACTCGCCCATGAAGCCATCTAAGTTGAAAGCAGTAGACACAGCATAGGGCCTTCAACGAGCTGATGACGCTGCGATGCCCAACGCCACGTTTCCCGTAATCGCACGTTGCGTCACGTTGAAATTGTCCAGTTCGAGCGTATCTTCAATGTAGCGCAGGATTAGTGCTGAAGGGGAGATTTCGGATTCACCTACTTATCTCTGATGTCCAATTTTAGCGTGTTAGCAAAGCGCCAACTGCAGCATTGAAGCTGTAGAAGTGCGATCAATGTTTTCTGGGTGATTATTTTGGTCGTCGATGAGCGGCCGTTCTCAACTGCCGGTCGGCTGCTTCCTTGGGTTTAAGCGCAGCGGCAAACAATGCGCCACGTGTCTTCGTTGATGTGCCGCGGATTAACTTCCACGAAGACTCGCGGTTTCGACGCCATGCCTGGCCTCGCCGCCGTTTGCGGCTGCAGCTCAGTGCCCAGCCAATTAATGCGTAGCGGCAGTTCTGTGCAGCAACGCAGCGTCATCGCGCCGTCGCGGGTAGATTTCGACCTGCGTTGGAAATAGTCGCCGTGCCTCCCTGTCGTGGATTGTTATCGGCCTCAACGCTGGGACAACAAGAACGACCCGGACGATAAGTGTCCGGAGTTCGTGCGTAGAGCTCCGGCTGCAAACGCGAGAATCGTGCTTCTTTTGGCTTTCACCTCTTGGCGAAGCAGCGTCTCTATACAACTCTTCCCCGCTCTCAGAACTTTCCCTCGGGTCAGCGTTGTACGATTTTTTTTTTTCTGGTCGAAACGAACGGTGCGGTGCAGCTAAAGTATGATAACGATGCGTCCCTGCGGGGACGGAAAGGAGCGCAGATAAACACAAGACCTTCTCCAATTTTTTAGAAAGCAGCCTTAGTTGGACTAACGAGGGGTGGACGTACTTAAAGGAGTACTGATACAACTTTGAGACTGAGACTGTCTCTCCGCACCCCCCCCCCCCCCCCCTAGAAAGAAAGAAAGCAAAAGCATTTTTTGTTTCCATGGTGACTGTCGACGCTCTCCACACGCCGTGACCAAACAGCGCGTACATCACAAAGAGCTCGCTTTAAGAGAGAGTGTGTCTGCAGCATGTGACAATTCTTTGTAACTCCGCTTGTACTGGACGGACTCTTTAAAATTTTTGCGGCGTTCACTTTGTGAAGGTAATACGCTTTTCCAGTGAATTGTTTCCATGGTTACTCAAAAAAGTGTTCCAGGGCCCCTTTAAAGATCTCGTACCGGCCCAGCGTAGCACAAAACCGTGCGCAATAAAAGGGACCCGGCTGAATGGACACTTGAACAACAAAAAAAAGCAAACAATTTTTGTGCGGTGCTTATTTGTTTGCTGTAATGGACGACTAACATGTGCGGGCCTCCACACGTCCGTAGGCAGCCATGGTTTACTCTGGGCGAAGCAAGCTGTTTTATCGAGGAATCGAGCAGCGTCGTTGTTTCGCTCCGAGTGCATTCAGTGTTTTGTGTGACGCTCGAAAACCAGCCTAATGATATATTTCAAGGATGTATAACATCTCTTCCACCAGCTTTGATAGACTTCAGTTTACGAGAGTGTGCGCGTTGAAAAGTCGGCATTATGCTCCTTGCAAGCCACATTGTGTTGAAATGTGTTCTTTGTGGTGTCAGCTGTGGCCTTTCGCCCCGTTTGTTTTCTTTCTCGTCTAAATGCTTTAGATGTTTGCATATCGTGCACAAAGACGTTTGCCCCTTTTACAACGTACACGCGGCTTTAGATCGTTTCCCCTCGCTTTAGCGCGCTCTGAAACTGGTGCGAGCAGACGTCAGGCGATTGTTACTGTAAAGCCAGAATAATTTGCGTCCGACGTGCCGCACGTCCAGCTGTGACGCCGACACCTGCTCAGGTGCTGTCGTGCTCTTCCCTCGCATTGGGCGACCACATGTGATGCTGGCTGCGCGCTTAGTACCTCTGATCTATCGCGGTTCACATCTCCTAATTTTCTTCTATGCTGGCATAATTAGCCAGACAACTACGTTCCGTGTAATGGGCATTTCTAGCCTGCGCACGGGCAGTGTGACGTCACGCGTGTCATGTACTAATTTGCAAATGTCACTGGATGGTGACATTTGCAAATTATTACGGAAAATATACCTGGACTCTGAGATTTTCTGACAGCTTAAGAGGCCAGTGACCTCCAGTTTCTATTTCGACGACCTCCAGTAGAGGCGCTGTTCGGACCTGAAAAAAAAAAAAAAAACTCTCAACCATCTTCCCGAAGGGAACACTGATGGGATGCGAAGCACCAGCGGTGCGCATCGCGTTGTCCAGGTTGAAACGGGCGTCGACGCGGGTGCTGGAAGAACGGTTTGAAGCGAATCTTCCTGTAGCGTTTATTTGAGTAAACTTTTGTTTAAAACGCAAGGACACGGGAGGCGGGACGCCTTGAAGACGCTTGCGCTTGGCTCGCGTCTCGTCCGTGTTACCTTGCGCCGTCTGTATTCTCGCACGCAATTGGGGTTCTTGACCCCTCCTTTTGTGCATTTTCTGTCAACAAAGAGCTAACCTAGACCATATCATGTGGGGGTGCACTCGAAGCCCACCGCCTAATTCTCTACACATTAATTAATAGTAAGGAGCAGTGGGAGGCTGCTATGTGCCGCTCGGCGCCCGAGGTCCAAGACCAGATCTTGGATTGGGCCAAGAGGGTAGCTGGGTTGGCTTCTCTGACGCTCCACCACCGCACCTTTCCCTCTTGGGATAAAGTGTTTCTCTTCCTCCTTGACTCGCACCTCGTCGGTGTCGCTGGTCTTCCTCTGCCGACGCTTGCGTTCAGCTTACTTGGCTCGCGCCTCGTCTATGTTGACGTCGTCATTCACGAACGCAATCGGCTTCGCTAACCCTCGCAATGCCGGCGACAGTCGGGAAAGATACGCGCACACTAGCGGGAAGCATGCCGCGACGGCGTTCCGCCAGGTCCCGCCCGTCGGCGCGATCGCGCGGCAAGCAGTAGCAGCGAAACGCGCGATTCTGGAGGCGTGCGCAGCGCGCGCACCCGCCGGCTCGCGGCTTCTTCTCGCCGACAGACGGAGAGAGGTGGCGCGGGGGAGATGATGCCCATGTGAAAAGTGGGCTCGAGCGTTGCGAACGGTGGAGAGGGTGAAGCAGGAGAGAGCTGACATGTGGCGCGCGGCAGGCGAGGGAGAGAGAAGTCAACGCGCACTGCTAGGAGGGCGTGAACTACTTTGCACCCCTCCAACACCTGCGTTCAGGAAAGCGGTGCGGACGGAGGGACAGCGTTACTCAGGCTAGTCGAAGAGCTGCTTCGCATCTGAAATAGGGTACCTCGATGTGAGGCGCGTGCACATCGTGCGTCTCTCATAATCATATGGTGGTTTTGGGACGTTAAACCCCACATATCAATCAATCAGCGTGCACATCGAGGCCCCCTAATGAAAAAGCAGAAGACCACTCTCTACAAAATCGTGACGTTTGGCTAGTTGCCCACTTTTTTTTTCATGTTCTCTGCAAGGCATTATTTAAGTTGTGACGGTGCAGGTGTGCAACAGCTGCGCCAGTTGTGCCATTAGAGGCCATTCCAGCTAAAACACCCGGACCATTCCTAAAACCTTCGCAGTTGCGCTAATTTTAGCGAGAAATGGAGGGCGCGTCGGTCATCTGCAGTTTGAGCATCATCATCTTCCAATCCATACGCACACACTCTAACCCCTTCGTGAAAGAAAACAAGATAGTGGTTCGAAAAATTTATGTTGGCTAGTCTATTGCCTGCAGAGCGCTCGTTCAGCCACCTTCGCCGCAGTGCACCAATGTCTTGCGGGAAAACGTTCCGAGATTCAGAAGGGGCTTTTAGTACAAGCTGTCAGGAGACACTGCACATTTTGTTCAATTCATGTGTGCTCCGTGTAATTACGAGTACAAGTATGATCGCTGATGTTTTCCAAGTTACTGGCAATCATTTTTAGCTGCGTTTCTTCCATGTGTCCCTGTGGTTTCTCAGGTAAGCGTTTGTGCTTCCCTTTTCCGATGGAGGCGGAAATGTTGTAGGCCCGTGTACTCAGATTTGGGTGCACGTTAAAGAACCCCAGGTGGTAGAAATTTCCGGAGCCCTCCACTACGGCGTCTCTCATAATCATCAGTGGTTTTGGGACGTTAAACCCCACATATCAATCAATCGTTTGTGCTTCCCTGAGAAACAAACAAAAACATGTTGCAGTTTTATTTTTTATCCATTTTGCCACCCCACTTGCTTCTGCTTTACAATTCTCCCGAATTCCGAGGTCGCCAAGATCGCAGCTCCACATTAGCATTTTCAGCGCCTATCTAAATTATTTGACCGGCCCTCCAATCTATTGTGGACATTATTCGCACTGTGCGGTGGTTCATCACACTTTTCTGAAATTAAAGCGTTGGCGTGCACAAGTTAGCTGATGTTAAATGGTTTGTAAATATTTTTGTTTTCTTTTCTAAAAATAAGCCTTCT